CGCGATACGAATCACAATTTCCTTCTAACTTCTCCTAATCCTTCGTAGCAAACAGAATAAATTAACTTGTAGAAACCAGCAGCAAATTCGAACATATTTTGTGGGCCTCGTTACAAATGGTCTCAGGCCAGACGTGGCCCGCGGCCCGCTACGATGTGGCGAAATCTCAACAGGGCGGAACCTCACAACTCCATGATAATCGACTGCTGTCTGTTCCAATAAGCGATAATCAACTTACACGGCATAAACAAGCAACCCGGTTTAATGTACGCACTTTACTTCCAGTCTGCACGCTATTGTAGTGACTTTGGTTCGGCTCGTTACGGCACGGTTTACGCAACGGGACGGCAAAGCAGATATTCGCCGGTCAAATAACATTCTGCGCGGCGGTGTTCGCTCCATTGTCACACGTTCAAGGTGATCGCACTGCCTGTACCACGGAAGTCTTTATTATCACAGGTAGTGCTAAGCAGGGCATGTTCAGAGCGTATCATAATAACGATCCCCATTCTGTAAGGCGCCGACATTAACTAAGCGGACGATATCGCGTTGTGCGTGCAACAGTGACATATCATTCGTGAAACAATGCCAGCAGGGGCGAAACAGAAGACCAATGACGTAATTCCCAAGGCAAAAATTTCGACCGTGTTCTGAGGTGTTGATTTTTGTGTTCTACTCGCCCAGATTCACAGCTCGTATCTAACACAGCAAATGTCTGTGTAAGACGGAAAAGCTAGAATTTAACATAGATCCGAATTACTGTGTACAGATCTCATTTATTATTCGTTCATTTGACTTTTTCTCATATTAATCACATTGCGCAGGAGTTTTACACAATTGTATGTTACATCATTTCAAATCCCGCAGAATTATTTTGAAATTACATAGCTTTGTATTTTATTTATTTATTTAGTGTTCTGTCTGACGACAGGTCCATATGAACAGGATCCTTCCATCCTTTTCTCGGACTGGGACCTGTTCATATACGTTCTTGGCAGATGATCCAGAAGTGGTTTGCCATTGCCTGCTTCTGTGTGTGAATGGAGTAATTGTGGGGATGCCACGGAGGAAAACTCCGTGTTGCCTAAACCACGGCCTTGCCCAACACAAGTTATAAATTCGAACCCGAGACCCCAGGATTACAAAGCCAGCGTTCTAACCGCTA